GGCACAAATAATGTTCCTTTTTTATTACAAAATCATAAGCATGTAATTCTGTAACATAACAATATCACACTCGTGCACACCATATGACATTTTAGGTGAAATGTTTAAATGAAAACTGTAAATTATTACACCCATATTATTGCCCTACCAACCACATACAAGCAGGCGTTACTTCTGCTGGTGTCTGTGTCTGTGTATATACACACACATACACACACACATATGTAGGCGTGGACACATATATATGTCTATCCAGAAAGTATGCAGCCATGTAATATAAAAAATAGAGACATTTATTGAAGAAGATACAAGAAACATTGTACATAGGACAATGACGCCTCAGTCCCCTTCAAAGTAGGCAGCTTGCAATCTCACACAGTTCTCGTAATCACCATCAGCTGCCCCATCATTGTATTTTCAGAATCTCATTGATGGTCTGAAATCTCTTCCCCTTCAAAGGTGATTTTAGTTTTGGGAAAAGCCAGAAGTCACAGGCCACCAAATCTGGCCTGTAGGGAGGCTGAGTCACCTGGGTGATTTGATGTTTCACCAAATACTCTGCACGAGACATGATGCATTGCTGTGATGAAACTGCCATTTACCAGTTGCTCTGAGCTGCGGCCGTTTTTGTCATATTGCATCTCTCAACCAGTGAAGAATACTGAGGTAGTGCTCCTTATTAACGTTTGGCCTGGAGGGGTGTACTTGTGATGGACAACATCTTCCCAATCAAAAAACACAGTTAATATGGTCTTGATCTTGCTGTGACTTTGCTGTGCTTTCTTTGGGCACGGAGAACCAGGTGACTTCCATGAGGACGACTGGGCCTTCATTTCCAGATCACAGCCATAGACCCACAATTCATCTCTGGTTATGATCTTCTTGAGGAAATCTGGTTCATTGGTAGCAGTTTGAATCAAGTCATTAGCAACTGCAACATGATATTCCTTTGCTCTGGTAGCAAAAGCCGTGGAATGAATTTTGCCACAACACGTTTCATGCCATGATCCTACATCAAAATTTTGGACACGGTAGTTTTTGGAATCCCCAGATCAACTTCTAGCTCTCACACTGTCAGTTGCCAATCTTTGTTGATTGCAGACTATACAGGTTCAACATTCTCAGATGTTCTGCTTATTGCAGGCCTTCCAGAATGTGGATCACTTTCAACAGATTCTTGACCATCTTTGAAGCATTTGTGCCACACTTTTATTTGCACTGCACTCATTGCATTGTCCTCAGAAGCCTTCTAAATCATCTGAATAGTTTCCTCGGACGAATGTTCAAGCTTAACACGAAGTTTGATGTGGATTTGTTGCTCTGCTCGCTCAGTCATTTTGAACATGATGGCCACACGGTACACATGCTCACTCAATGATATCTACCACCCCCACTGACTTGTACAGTGAAGTTGTTGTTCACGCATGTGCATTCCAGTCCACTCTCCTTGGCTGCCAGCTTACAATGATATTGTGCAAACTGTCCTCGTTATATTAACAATGGCTAGAGTTTTTCCAGACAGATTACACACACACACATACACACACACACACATAAACATATATATTTATTCTCACCTGGGGACATGCTTATTGATTTTAGAGAGAAGGAGAGAAACATCAGTCAGTTGCATCTCCTATGACTGAACCCACAACCCAGGCATGTGTCGTGACTGGGAACTGAACACCCAACTTCTTTTTATTGTTGTTCAATTGCTGTTGTCCCACAGAACCCGCAAATTTTCAGTTTACGAGATGATGCTCCAACTAACTGAGCCACACTGGCCAGCATGGGATGTGTACATTTTTAAGAGAAGTTAAAAAGATGTAGTTTGTCTTAATAAGTTGGTTATTTCTGAGTGAGTAGAGACCCACTAAGAACAAGGGAAGTTGTAGAAAGTTAGTGGAAAAGGAATATTGAAAAAGGAATTTTATGCATAAATACTAGGACCCAATTATGAGAACATGCTTACTCCCTAACCCAGCAAGCACAACTAATTACATTAATTCAGATGGCAACTGAAATGTCTGCAAAAACCTGACCCTCTGTAACTGCTGCTAAGGCACAGGAAATTTGCAATCTTCACCTTAACTGAGCCTATCTATTGTCTTTTTGCATCTGTTGTAACATATCTGATAACATACCTTTGGAATATCAAAGTAATTTCCTTCTGTCTAGACCCTCAAAGAACAACCACCAAAATCAGAGCAGAGACCACAAATCCCCTCATTGTTATTATTATCATGTTAATTGTTAAATGTTAACTCTCCTCTATCCACTAATGTATGTGTCTATTCCTTTTACTTTTTATCCAATCCCAGAGATTTGCCTGCTTTGCTTTCTCTTGCCTCCCTAATCTACCACCAGTGGATTTCATGTAACCCCCTTATGTCTTGTCCTTTGATTCAGATTATAAAATAAGGTGCAAAACTGCCATTCTCTATTTCCTCAATCCGTTGAGATTTTGCTTCCCAGAAAGTGTCATCAATTTGGCTCAAATAAACTCATAAAAATTCCTACAGAGCTGGACATTTCTTATGTTGACATTACACCAGCGTATTTAATTTCATTTTTCTGGATCCTCATTTATTTTCTCCTTCTCTGCCATCACAAGCAGATGTGTGAAGCCCATTGGCTGCCCTGTTATTTCTGTGAGTTTCTAACACTATTGCCGTCTACCTGTTGATGCTGCTGGATGCTGCATGTAGCTACTCATCCTGTTATAGCTGCACTGTGAATTAGTATTTTCATTCACATGAAACTGATAGTTTTCCAGGGGCCATGGGTTCTATTTCATGCTTTTTGCCTTAAATCCTATGTTACTGTACACCCAGTTTTCCTGTTTATTCTTTTTCCTGCTTGCAGAGGTGTTTTATTCCTATCACACCTCCAACACTTCCTTTCTGCATTCTCTTGGCAAGTGATTTTGCCTCCAGTTTCACTGAGAAAACAGAAATGAACTAAAGAGTTGGGTTTTTAAAAATCTTTCCAGAAGAATCTATAAACCTCCTGGCCCTGTGCCCACATATTTTTGCCTTTTTCCTGTTCCTACAGATCTAAAGCTAACTCCCCAAGCCCTACAACCAACCCTCTGGCTTGTCGAATAGGTACTTTGCTCCTGTAATCACCCTTCTCCTGGGCTACCTTCTCCTCCCTCTCTACTGCCCATCTTACAAGGAAACACACATTTCAGGGCCCCATCTCTCCTGCTACTATTCCATTTTTCTGCTTCCCATTTCAGCAATGCTCCCTTACTTCCACTGCTGTGACTGCTCATTAGGCTCGCCCTTCTTCATTCCTCTACAGCTACACTTATCAAAGGGACCAATGACCTTGCTCTTGACAAATCTAAGCTGACCAGTGACCTTGCTCAAGGTGACCAATGACCTTGCTCTTGCCAAATCCAAGTTCTGGACTCTCAGGAACTCTGAGTAACTAGCATAGGACACAATTTGAAACAAGTTGAAACACTTCAATAGTACACTGGTCTTTCAGGATACCACATTTTCCTGCTCTTCCTTTCACTCACTGGTCAGTCCTTTCTCCTTTGCCAAACTTTCCTCTTCTTCCTGAAGACTAGATATTGGGACACCCCTGGGAATGTGTTCCTGCAGGTGTTGGCCATGGGCTGACAGTATTACCCTCACCTGAGAGCTTGTGAGATGCGGCATCTTAGGTCCTGCCCCAAACTTACCTAATTAGAGTCTGTATTTTAATAAGATTCCTCCCAACTCCAGGGAATTTGGCTGCACAATAACATTTGAGAAGCCCTGACTGGTGTGGCTCAGTTGATTGGGCATCATCTCACAAAGTGAAGGGTTGCCAGTTCAATTCTTGGTCAGGGCACATGCCTGGGGTGCAGGTTCAGTCTCTGGTCAGGGTGTGTACAACAGGCAACTGATTGATGTTTCTCTCTCACTTCGATGTTTCTCTCCCTCTCTTCCTCCCTTCCCCTCTCTCTAAAAATGAATAAAACCCTTAAAAGTAACATTTCAGAAGCATGGGTGACTGCTCAGCTCTTTCTCTACTGTGCCTACACCAGGGTTTCTAGACCCCATACTGTTGGCAGTTTGTGCCAGATAATTCCCCTTCACAAGAAGCCAGCTTGTGCACCACGGGGTATTTAGACATTTCCGTGTCACTGTCCCTTCCCAGTTGTGACAACCAAAAATTCTCCAGAAAATGCCTAAGGTGAAAGCAAATGGTGAACCAGAAATGCATCCATTGGAGGAAAACAGGCTAAAACAAATAAAAGAACAAATCAAAGGTTAATTGGCCCATAATCACTCTTCTACCCTACAGGGCTGAGAAAGACATTTAATCAAAGGTTCAGGAGAAGTTAGGTGCAGATGATCAATCTTAGTTCTTATAAACGGTCCATGCCACATCTATTCTCACCTACCCAGGATCTGCTCCCTCTTCTGATAACAGCACTCTGGCTTTCTACATGCAACCATCCACCTCCCTTTGAGGTTTGGTGGGTGGGGGGAGTCACCCACACTCCCACACTCCCCCACTCCCCCTCCCACTCCCTGGTTTGCCCCAGGAATAAGCACTAGCTCCAGTCCTAGCCAGTTAGCATATCTCATCCCCTTGGTGATGGTGATTGGTCTAAATGGGCCCAGCAGGAGTCAATCCCAGGACTTGGGAAGGCATACAGAGAAAGGCAGGTGAGGTCCCTATCAGCATGTCACTCTAGCTGGTGAAATGTGAGCTTAGAGCTGTTGATGACCATCTTCCCAAGCCTGGGAACAACCTTCCTGAGAATAAAACCAAGCCAAGGAAAGCAGAGCTCAGGGACAAAGAGGTGACATCATTCAAGCCCCTGGATACAGCTGTGTCTGGGTTTCTCATTTATGTAGGTCAAGAAATTTCTTTTTTATCTGAAGCCAAATCCACTGGGGGCGGGGGGCTCTATAATTTGCACCTGAAAGGGTTCTAACTAATACAGAAGGAATGAGTAAAGAATGCAGGCAAAGAATGAAATCCATATTTGTTACCTTTTTGCTGTTTTCTGTGAGCCACTGAATTCTCTGTTGATAAAGTTCAATAGCTCTGTCGAAACACCAGAAAGACTCATTACTCAAGGTCAGCTTCATCACTGAGCAACAGCCACTAACATAAAAGGAAAGTGTGGGTGGAATTATTTTTTTAATTATGTCTTAAGTTTTGGGGAGAGTATAAGGCAGATTTAGCAGAGAAAAATGAAGGTACTTGTTTGCTAGGGGTATGGGATGGAGGAGCTGTGAGAAGAGCACCGTTGGGTGCTGCTCCTTGGTGGTGCCCTGTACACTGCAGGGGGCTGTGGTTTGGTGGGACAAGAGTGAGGGACGAGAGTGAGCGCTGAGTGTGGCAGGGTGGTGGAGGGTGGGTATGTTCTCATGAGGAAGGTGGAAGAACACTCTTGCTCTTCACAAATCTGTCCTGTCAGGGGAGACTTTCAAGTCACCTGGATACGATCATCAAGGCACATGTGAGGCAGTTCAGCAGCACTCTTTCAGTGTATTGATGAACAAATGGAACTTAGTTTCCAAAAAATAAGTCCCAAACAATTCCAATGGCTGTTTGGAGACAAGCATGTAACAGATGCTCAACCTAAGGACTCGGTCACTGGAATATAACTGACTTGCCCTCATAGAAGGCTGTTGAGATTTGGGGGCCTAGGGAAAGGCAAGGAAGGCTTATGGAGTAATCATGGGGCAGGGGGTGGTGTATAGTTTTCAGGCATACAGGGGTATGTAAGGGCTAAGAGTATGAGCTTCATAATGAGATAAGCTTGTCCTGGAGTCCCAGCTCTGCCATTTACTAGCCCTTGGACAGGTGTGAGCCCCAGTTTCATCAACTCCAACATAAAGATAATACTGGGACTTTATCTGAGTCAATTTGCCAAAAGTCAATTTACTGAAAGCCAGTCCCTTGAAAATCAATTTGCCAAATGACCAGTTAACTGAATGGACTTGAACATTCCTTAAAATGCTGGATTCACGATTAAAACCAATCAACCAAAATATTGCAGAATTCTTTAAAACCTCTTTAAACCTTCCAACCCAATAAAAATTACCATAAAATTTACAGTCAATATGTTTTGATAAATTTGGCAAGTTGGTCATTTAGCAATTGAGATTTAGTTAACTTTAGAATACTGTATTTCAAGTTGTTCTGAGGATTGAATAAGATAATGCATGCAGCCCTTAGTAGAATTCTTGACATATTAACAAATGTTAGCTATTCATTATTATTATGTCTTTGTAGGAAAACTCAGGCACACAGTAATCGTGGGTCATAGACTGCATAGCCAGGATGGAATGTAGACATGTGCTACCAAAATCTGGTTTGGGGGTGGAAGCCTCCATTTTTTGACATTTACAAAAGTGTGAACCCAATCCATTGGTCGCTGAAAGTGGTCACTCTTAACAACTACACATCAAATGAGACTGGGAGGTTTTATGTGTTTATCCAAAGAAATCATTGATTTTAGAAAGCTGAGAAAAACTGATATGGTCCAACTTCTTTATGTGAGAAAAACAGAAATTGGGTCTATGAGTAGAAAAAGACCGGCTCAAAGTCCCACAGAAATTGCCACCTGAACAAAGTGACTTTCAAGCTGCTGAAAGGCAGTAATTCTTGAGTTCTGGGGTTGCTGGAAGGATCCTGAGAAACATACTTACTCAGAAAGCTTTGCTTCAAACTGGTGGATGATCTGGGGTGAGAAGTGCATTTTCTTCATGGCACTGCTGCCCTCCTCCCTGAAGAAGCAAAGCCTAAGAAGGGGTCTCTCAGGCCCATGGGGCTGGATGCGCCACTGCAGGCTTAAGGGTGAGAGGGTGGCTTCAGACTTACAGTACAGCTGTACCCTGGCAGATCAGGTCAGCCAAGGTGAGCTTCTTAAACTTTAAACTGTGAGTTGAAAGCCAGTCGTGTGAGTCATCCCACTCTGAGGGCTGGGTATCCTGTCCTCGCAGCCTCTGTGAGAGGAAGCCAGAGTCACACAAACAGCCATGGGAAGGGAGGGAGAGGCTGAGGATGCTCTAGGTTCCAGGCTCTCTTCAAACAGATGCTCAAGGGCTGCCAACTCTGATGATCAGACCCGAAAGCAGTCTGGTTAAGATCTCGCCTTGCTGAAGGAGCAGAGGAAGAACATGGGGCCCTGTGCTCTGGACCAGCTGCCCTGAAGTCCAGTTCCTGTCTCCCACCTTGTATCTAACAAGCAGCTGGACAATTCAAGGGCCATTCAGCATGGCCTGCCTGTGAGAGACTGAGTCTGCACACATACAGCAGTCAGACCATATGCGACAATGGAACGCCAACCTGCAACCTCCGCAGCAACTGGCCTGCAAGGGTCAGGACTCAGTCAAAGAAGCCCGCTTTCCCATTTTTACGCCTCTGCTTCCAGCTCAGGACCAACCAAAGAAAGTCATATATGCCCACAAACCAATCACAAGATGCCTGGCTTCTAGTGAGGTGCCTCCAGCTTGCCCCTGCCAACAGCTTCCTCCAGGGCACACCTGGAGCTTCCTTTTCTTCACTACAAAGCTTCCTCACTCCCCTGCGAGCCTTTGAGTCTCTGCCAAACACAAGTGATGATGGCTGACTCTTGCTAGAGCAAACTCTGAATAAATTCTCTGTTTGTTTTCATTTCGGTTGTCTCTGATTATTTCCACCTTTCCTTCTCTGTGTTATTTCAGGTAAGTAAGTTCTGCCTCCCTATCAGTCTGAGGGTCCCCAATAAACAGCTGCTAACTAACGGAGGAGAGAATAGGTTTATCCGGTCCATTCCAGAGGCTGGAGGCAGTAGCAGCAGATGACAGTTTCAGAGAAAGAATTTTTTAGCCACCACAGAAGTCTACCCACAAAATGGACCAGGCCCCCTTTCCTGTACCAAGTGACACCTGTGCCACTTACATAGTGCTAAGCTTGGAATGTGGGTGAAGCTGAAGTCACTCATGGTGAGCATTCAACATCGGTGATGCTTTCTGGGTGCCAGAGGTAGAGAAGGCTGACCTGGGGCTCCAAGTCCACTTTGGCTGTTCACCTCTTCTGGAGGCTGGCACTTCTTCCTCTCTCCAGTGAGCATTTCTGAGCCTTACTATGACCTACGCACTGCTCCGGGTGCTAGAGCTACAATGGAACAAGATGCTAGAACAAGGTGGAAATGTTCTTGCCTTCTTGGAGCTTACATTCTAGTGTTGGTGAATGGATAGTGAGGAAAAAAATGAAATCAATGTCCATAATTCCAGGAAAGAACAGTTCTATTAAGAACATGGAACAGGGAAATGTGATAGAAAATGACTAGGGCGGTGATGGGGAGGTCACTTTAGCCTCAAGACCTAGAGGTTATGAAGGAGACAGGCCTGTGCAGAGCTTGGAACACACATTCCAGTCAGAAGAATATGGGGTGTGTGTACCAGGGGGTTTGAAGAACAGAAAGGTGCCCACTGGGATTGGAGTGTAGAAAATATAGAATAATATGACATGAGAAGAGACTACAAAGGTGTGCAAGGCCTGGATTGGACAGGGATTTTACAAGAGCTTCCAGAACAGCCACTGCCTATGTGATACAAACGGACTTTAAATGTTGCCAAAGTTGGCCATGACTCAGGGTACAGAATGGCATCGTAACAGGAGGCCGGCCTGGGCCCATGGTGAGAGAAACTCCTTCCCAGGATCTGATAACTGTGGAATGGGCCTGGAGCACCATTTAACCCACTGGGACCCCAGTCTAGATTCAAAGATGGCTTCACCTGCTCCTGGGCACCTGCTTGAACCCTAAGTGGGTTCCGCTTGGGCTTGCATCCATCAGGACTTTTGTTGCAGTGGGTGAAGTAGTGGACAAGAGGCTGGACCTATCTGCTGTAGCTGACTGAGCTACACAGGATAGGACAGAGGATACAGGGAGAGGAAGAGGAAAAGGATGGAGGAAGAATAGGAGAGAAAAAAGGAGTGTGGTATTGTTTGGTGATTTTAAGTCCACTTCTTTATGACTCATATGAAGTTGTTTTTATCTAAGAGTGAAGCTGTTTACATTGCAGAACCTGCATCAAGATGTTGTCATGGCACTTGCTGTCCTCGATCAACAGTAGCTTAGCGGATGACAGGCACTACTGGGGGTTTAGCAATAAGAACATGTGGAGAAGTAGCTACAGCAATGGAACATTTAGCCTTTAAATTAAAGAGATTGTGAAGACTCACTGAGAGTGCACAGTCTGGGCAAGGGCACTCTGCTGACCTACCCAGCCCTCTGAAGACCTTGGGCATTAGCTCTTGCCTTGGTGAGATGACTTTTTACCAGGGGCGGTGAAAACCATGGAGCAGCTCCAGGAAGGAGATTATCTTGCCACCCACATATTGTCCTCATTCCCTAGCAACGTGCTTTAACAACAAGAAACTTTCCCTTTGTCCTGGCAGTGGACAGAAGCTCTTGGTTAGAAAAGCCGACTCTTCAGAGAACCAACTCACCAACTCGTAGAAAAGCATGCCTCCACTGAATTTGAACTCTATTGCCCTTAAATTCCATTTGCCTGAAATAACTGCAATTTCATTTGAAGTATGTTATTTCTTTATTGGCTTATTAAGAGACATTATCCTGTTGCTACTGGCTTGTGAAACTAGTATAATTCCCACAGTGAATCCATGTTAAATAAATTACTGGCAAAGACAACCTGTTTTTGAGCATAAATTTGCTGCTCAAACCAATGGGGTTCTAGCTTTCTGATGCTGAGCAATTCTTCCTTCACCTGTAAGATGGCATCTGAAGCTTTGGTACAGAACACAGCACTGAGTGTTTCCATATAAATAGTTCTCAACAATAGTGGAAGTTAACCACAAAACAAAGACAACAACAATTAAATACTGTTATTATGTTCCAGCAAGAGAGTATTGTGCCTTAAGTTTTGTGCCTGAGGCCTGCTTTCTCTGTTACAAAAGGAAATTGCAGGTGTTAAAAAAAATGTGAAAAATACTAGTAATTAAAGCAAACATTTAAATAGCACTTATTATGTATGAAGCACTTTCCATAAATTAACTCATTTAATTCTAAAATGCAGGATCTATCATTAACCCCATTTTACTGACAAGGAAGCTGAGGCATAGAGAATTTAAGTAGTTTGCCCGAAGTTACAAAGCTAGTAAGTGGTAATGCTGGGATTCAAACCCAAACAGAATAGCCCAAGTCATGCTTGTGATCACAACAATATATACTGCCTTTAAATTAGCACCAAACTGTGACTATCTTGATTAGGAATTGTGAGAGAAGGGACTGAAAACATCACTTTCTCATTATGGGATTCTCTGCTAATCAGTGTCCTGCCCTTGAACCTCCTAAAGCCATCATTCTGTCTCACACTTAGGGAAACACATTAAACACTGTCAACATATGAACGCTAGATGTCACCCTTCTCATCTTTCAGGATTCGCCCTGGTCGCTGGTACACTGAAGCAAAGCAGACATAACCCATCTTTCTCCCAGTTTACTTGCATTTGAAATGATCCATCATGTTTTGGAAAATTGATTTTGTGTTTTAAATATTTGAAGATTCACTACTAAATTCATTTTGGATTTTGAGTGTAGAGCATAGTGATTGCATTGCAAAGGATGAGCTTTTCAAAGAGAATATTAAGATCTTTGTGCTGGGGTGCTCCCTTCCTTCTTTCTCACTGCCACTACCCACTTGTGAGGCAAAGGAGGCCCTGACTGTGGCTGATGAATGTAGGACTGGTCCTTGTACACTTGGGAAGTCATGTATTTATATGAAATTATATGAAATAAAGATATATCGTCAATACCTGAGGTCACTGAAAGAATCCCCCAGAATCTCAACTCTATAGATGTTCCTCATTTTCTTTTAATTAAACTTGCTTTCCCATAAGTGCCAATACTCAAAAAAAGTAAGACATGACTATTTTCCTGGTTGTTTAATTGTCAGCATTAAAACTGTATTTTTTTTTGCATTAATATCATTTTACAGGTGTGATATTTAAACTCCAACATAGATTAGATGGTTATGGGTTACATGGGAAACATAGACAATCATTTCTGTGGTATAAAGAATTCTGAGTTTTAGAAAATCCACACATCATTTTGGGAAGATGGCCCACACATTGAGAGTCAGCCTGAAACACAGCCCTGGTTATTCTAGAGCTTAACTCTTCTTCCATAACTCTCTTGCTCCCACAGCAATTAGTGAAACAAATATTTTTATATCTAGATTTTAGGGAATCCTAAAAGAAAAACAAATCTCAGGAAAGGAAATTTTAGAATTCAATTTCTTAGACTTCAGGCTTTGGTAGCATGGACAGTCTTCTTCATATGCTCCTGAATATTTCATGATATGCCCAAGAGAACTACAAAATTTCTATGAACAGCATAGACATTCTTCAGTCATTTCTAAAGGCAGGGAATTAGCTATAAATGCTTAACTAATCTTTTTTGGTCCTCGGATCCTATGTGAGGAGAACACCCAGAGTTGGACACATTCTGTATTCCCTCACTATGATTTGCGAACACTGTGAGTAAGTTAAAGCACAAAGATTTTTTACCAGTAAATCTTGCGTCTGGTTAACATGTGTAACCAGTAATCCATCATCTGGATTTTGGCCACGTCCACTGACATCCTTCTGGCTCAACTGCTTCTTTGGGTCTCTGTCAGTGTTTCTCTTTGTGCTACAAAACAAAGTGATCTGATCAATGCCCCAGCACTGGACACGCTGACAGTGCCTCTAAAAACATTTTTATTTCTGTGCAGTAAGTGGGCAGGGTTCCTGTAGGATCCTAATAAAATGTGATCTCCAGATTCATGAGAAATTTTATTCTACTGTTCTGGTAGATAACTGAAGCCCTCAGGTATGAGATAATGCAATGACCACTTACCTGTCTCACCACAACACAGGTTTTTTCCCTCTCAGCTCCCCAGAGCAAAATATTATTGTCATTGTTTTTATTTGCAAAGTCAGAGAAGATGCTTACCAGTGATTTTCTACGTACTTATTATCTTGATCGTGGGAGACATGGCTAGTTTGTGTAGCCATTATAAAGACACTCAATGCTTGTTCTCCTAAGGAGGAAAAGAATTCCAGAGAAGGGTAAGTGCAGCACTGAGACAACAGCCTTGGGGGGGGGTCTCTATATTCAGCTCAACTCTCCTTTAATTCATCCAATAAGTACTTATCAAACACCTATGAGGTATCCGGCTTTGTGTTAGATGTTGAGGATATAATCCTTGGCGAACAAGATAACAACGGTTAATCATTCTTGGTCCTTTTGACACTCTTGGTTGTGAGGCTGTCCTATGAATTGTAAGACTCTTAGCAGCATCCCTGGACTCTGCCTATTAGATGCCAGTAGTACTCCTGCCCCCAAGTTGTGACAACCCAAAATGTCTCTAAACATGGCTTGACGTCTCCTGGGAGCACAATCATTCCCCAGTTGACAACCACTAAGCTAGACATTGCTCTTGTCCTTTGCAGATCTTGATTCTTGAGGGGGAGACTGATGTTCAAAAAATTAAATATAGTAATTACAAATTTGTGGAATGTGCTATAAAGGAAGTAAATAGGATGGCATAATAGTGATCAGGGAAGGGCTCTACTTTGCATAGGTGAGGTGGTCAGTGAAGGTGTCTTGAGCTTAGACCTTTTTGAAAGATGAAAAGGAGGTGGCTGAGTTAATAGTATGGTGAAGGCTGCATGAGGCACAGAGGACAGCAAGTGACTGTAGCAATTTTGAGGAGGGGAGAGGAAAAATACTGATTTTTTTTCCTCTGAGAACTATATCTGCACTTAAAGGGCTGAGTCCTACAGCCGCCCCTCATAGCGTGTTGCATCAGTGGTAGACACTTATCTAAGATGGATCAATGAAATTCTTTGGGAATTGGAATTGAGATGTGGGGCCACCATGTTCATTCAGAAGCAGGAAGAGACAGTCTTCAGAGAACAGTAGACTCAAGTGGTCATTGCCAGCTTTGGTTCCCGGGGCCACTCTCTCAGGCTTCCTTCTCACTCTATGCCTGCACCTTCTCAGTCTCTTACACAGGCTCCTCCTCATCTCCTGAGCATTTTAAGTCAGTGCTCCTCAAGGCTAAATTGTGAACATTTTCCTCTTTTCCTAGGGAATCTTATTCTTGTCCATGTCTTGAACTACCACCTATTTGCAACAATAACTCTCAATTATGTGTCAAAAGCCCAGACCTCTGACTCCAGAAGTGGGTGTTCATTGACACTGGACATTTCCATCTGGAGTGCCTCAAATTCAACATGACAACACTGAATTCATATTCTCTACAAATGTATTGTCTTTTTAGTCTCTAGCTGAGAAGAGTCACCACCATCCATATATGAATCAGAAGCCTAGGAATTATTCTTGACACCTGATTCCCCATATCAATCCATCTCTTGATCTTGTCTGTCTTTCCACTTATCTGTCTCCATTAACATTTCTCTTTTTCAGACCAGTCATTTCTGCCATAGATGTCACTAGACCCTAACTCGTCTCCCTATATGCGCCAGGTTCTCTCATTCAATCTGGTCTCCTTACTAAAGCCCCAATGATCTTGTAAAGACAGAAATCCGATGTCATGTCTCTTCTCCCTCCTACTTAACACTGTTCAGAGACTTCCCTTCACTTCTAGGATGAACAGTAAGATCCTTGTGATGGCATCTGAGGCCTTGTGTGGTCTAGCTGCTGCCAACCGACCCCTTCAGTTCCCCCCTTTCACCACTGTGCCTCTTTCTGCATCCACAACACCCTCCCCCTCACAGGAATGCTACACTTCCCTCAACCACAGGCCTTTTCATTTGCTACCTTTGCTCTGGAACATTCTTCTCCGAACCCACTGCTCCTTGAAACTGCAGCCCAAATGTCATTTCTTTGGGACATCTTCTCCAGCATCCCACTTTATTCAGGTTCCTTTGTGCTATATAAACTTTCAGAGAACTATGTTCCTTTCCTTCAGCACACTTTAGAATGATACATTCATTAACATGATTTTTAAAAATTGGTGTCTCTCTCCCATTAGGTTGTAATTGACATGAGAGGAGGGACTGGCAGATGATAAATATTTCGAGGTGGGAGGTGAAGGGAGAGAAGGAGGTTGAGAAATTGCCTTGTGTCTTGAATTTCTAATTTCTGATCCCAGGCACTTGTGAGAACTGAGTGCTGTCACTCAGTGCTGCTTCACTTTCTGCTGTCAAGCTAGCTCATTGAAGTTTTTGTTCTTTGCAACCAAAAAAAAAATATATATATACTGGCAAGATACAGCAGGCGAGAAACTCGAAACAGAGATACAGCTTGAACATGAGTGTGTATTCCTATGAAATCATGAAATAGCCTAATGATGGGGTAACTTGCTTTTCTCTTTTGGGCCTTCAATCCTTTATTCAGAGGAAGCTTTGATTTTGGGGAAGCACCAAGATAATGTGGCCATGTCTTAAAAAACAAACTGGCTTTACTTCAGTCAGTTTTGCTGGGAGACTCCAGTGGCAGAGACTGTTGAGAGAAACACCTCATAAACAGTGAACGCCCCACAGTGTCTCAGTTCCCTTTTCAGTGAGGGGTTAACACTTAGGGATGTCAGAGGCCTGTGGCCCATGTGGAGGAGCATTACAGAACAATGTGGTGTGCTTAGAAAGGGCACTGGACCTTTGGTTTATTTCTTCATCTACAGATATATAGCATACTGGTATTCTATCAGTGCTGTCTCTTCAAGCACGCTAGATAATGCTTAAGCAATCCTTCATCCCATGAACATTTACGGAGTGCCTACTGGGTGCTAGAGAGCACTGGGGGAGGCTGAGGTGAAGGGAATAAAGCTCTTATGCTCAAGCCTTTGTGTAGATAAAACCTCATCAGGCAGGTCTTCTTTGAGGACCCCATCTCCGTAGCCCCTCCCCTCTGCTTTCTTTTCTCCTCCTTGCCATGTTTCATCATCTGATGTTATTTATTTACTTATTATCTCTCTCCCTGCTCCTGCCCCCATAAACCCACTAGAAATAAGATCCACAAGGGAAGGAACTTAGTTATGTTTGCTACAAAAATGCTTTTGCATAAAACAGTGCCTAGAACATAGCAGCTCCCCTGAAAATATTTGTTGAATAAATGTACTCAGGACAGGTTCAGAGTTTTGACAAAGGTGGGTCAACTTACCCTGGGGAAGTGGTCACAGGAAGGGAACATACAAAATTGTCTTTGGTCAAGGGGAGAGAGGTAGCCCTGATTAGTGGATACAAGAAAATCTTCAGCTAACTTCCTGTTTTGCTAACAGCTGGATTTCAGATTCTCCTAAATATTGATCCAGAATAAAGCCGTCCTAGGGTTTGTATGTTTCAATTGCCAAATAACCTCCAGTCTTGATCCCATCCAATCCATTTCACCTTCTGCTGCTATAATGACTTTTCCAATATGTAGAACTTGTTCATCTTGCTACCTGTTTAGACCAGCCATGGATCCTCAGGGCCAAGGATAATCACATGGGACCTTCTTCGCAAGGCTTAGCATTGCTTCAGTATCTGTTCCCTGTTACCTTTCTATCTCATCTCTAATCCTTCTACAGTTCCTGGCAACACTTACACATATCTTGTTATTTCATGCCTTTCTTTGCTCAAGTTGGACCTACTTCTAGAAATGTCATTTCCATTTTGTGTTTGACAAGAAAACTCAGGAAGTCTCTCCTGAACCCAATTTGCTGACCCCCAAGTCCCAGAGAGAAAACAGTATTCTCCAATTGCCACCTCACTACGCCCTCTTCCCCCATTTCACATCAAGTTTTCACAGTCCTCCGCCAGACTGGCTCTATCCATAACTTGTCTACTGTTTAACTGTCAAAACCTGGCACAGTGCCTGGCATGGAGGGAACAGATGCTTAAGACCACAGCCTCCCTACATTTTTTCTTTCCATCCAGAGCTTAGCGTCTCCCATACCCTTTCTCTTACCACCTCTGTAAACCCTGTGATACTTACCCTCACCTGCATTTCTCCATTTATTTCTCCATCTTTGGGAGAAGGGATCCTGGTCATCCCAGGGACTCTGCTTTTCCTGGTTCCCACTTCCAGTCCTAAGCAACTAAACGGTGAAGCGGACCCTGCTAGGAAATGTTAGCTGGTCTCCAAGGCAACAGACTGCACCATTGCAGCTGTGAGGCAGGGACAGGCGGAAACCTTCCTCCCCCGCGGGGAAGAAATGGCCACTTTGTTAACACACCGCCTCCCGCCACCCCGCCCCGCACTCTGCTTTTCTCCACACCCACAAAAGCCTGGAAGCAGGCTTGGGACCTCTTTCCCATTTTTAGAACTCCTGGGACAGCGGAGAACTATGGTTTAGACCAGTAGAGCACTGCCACCTGCTACCTTCCTGTGGCAGGAACTGAAGAGACAGCAGAGAACCTGCTATGTGTTGCAGGCGGTAACTTTCTCTAGCTCCTCAGATTTCCCTGGGGACCCTGGGAGGGGTAACACAGTCCCCCATCCCCACCCAAACCTGGTTAATACAACAGCAGGCTTACTGACCTCTTAGCATCAGAAGAGAGCATCTACTGCAATGGTTCCCAAACCCAGGTGTCCTTCAGAGCGACCTGGGTTGCTGGTGAGAAAACACACACACAGCCCCATCTGGGAGACTGACACAGAACTGTGGTAAATTGTGGGAACATGAATCTTTGACAGTGGTCTCAGGTGATTATGATGTAACCAACCCTGGTCCCATAGTTGGGGATTTCTTCAACTCCTTTTATGGACATCAAGGGGAATGTGCCCATGTCAACTGGCCTGTGTGGCCTATAGATGACTGAGGGATCTGCACTTAGTTTTTCTTATCTGGGTCATTTCTCAAGTCATTGTCTTCACTTTCTGAACCTTGGGTTTTGTAATTTAGAACATATGCAACTGGTGATGGTCATCATATGGTAGAGACTCCCTCAGATGCTGACCCCAGCAGTGGCTTCCATAGTCCAGGTCAGAAACAAAGTCCTCACAACAGCAACTGCTGACCTCCCACTGCAATGGTTCCCAAACCCAGTCATCCTGGGCAGAAGTCAGGAGTAGAGAGCAGCATGTGTAAATCCAAGGCATTTGGTCAATACCACCAAGGCAGGAGAAGAGGGAGATCAGAGAGGTAAGGAATTCAGGAGAGGTAAGAATCACAAAAGGCTGAGAGCAACCAATCATCAATGGCTACTCTGTGAACAAGAAGTGAGGTCCGTGGGAGGGGCAGGGGAGGTGCGGATAGGTTGAAAGAAGGTGAAGGGATTAGACAAAACATATATGTAATACTCATGATCACAAACAACAGTTTGGGGACTGACTATAGGAATGAGGGGTGGCCTGCGGGGGGGGGATTGTGACAACTGTAAAGCATTAAAAAAAAACAGGTGAGGTCTTTGTGCCCACCTTCCTGGAAATCCTGTGTAGAAGGAGCTGGCCAGTTTTGAGACCATTTTTGGAGATGCAGAGGCCCAAAACACATAGTTTACCACCCTCACAAGTTCCTTTGCTCCTGGATACATAGGTTTTTAACATTTTACAAAAAGTAAAACCCAGCTTTGCAAAGGCACTGTTACTGTGTTTTTTCTGCTTGAGTTTACATGACACATATTCTGGAAATGAGCCAGATGGATGATAAAGCAGGGTAAGTTTTTCAAGCTGTATGACCAGCCAAGAAGAAAGCTATGTGCAGGTACTGTCTTGTTCAGCAATCCTCAGACCACATGTAGTTCATAATGGACCCCATGTAAGGGATTGAAGCACAGTAGGAATTTCTCTTATCTTGATCAGGTTCTTGGTATATGATCAAGGTCAAATCATCTCTGGTCTTTATTTAAGAGCTCTAATCTGGCCCTATTACACAAAATATAATTGCTGTGGTCTGAATGTTTGTGTCCCAACAAAATTCCTATGTTGGAAAACTAACCCCTAAGGTAATGGAATTAGGAGCTGGGGATTCATGATGCGGTCCTCATGATTAATCCTTCGTGAGTGGGATTAGTGCCTTCACAAAAACAAACAAACAAACAAACAAAATATGCAGGCAGAGCTCTGTAGCCCCCTTCTACCAGGTAAGGATACGAGATGTCTGCAACCCAGAAAAGAGAGGGCCCTTACCCAACCATGCTGGCAACTTGATCTCGGACTTCCAGCTTCCAGAACTGTGAGGAATAAACTTTTAAAAACGATGTTGCAATGAACATCGTAGTTTTACCTGTGTACTGAGGTTTATTTTTTGTAAGATTAAGACACAAAAGTAAAATGTATGACTAGAGACTATATTTTAAAAGTAAAAGACCCTAAAATTGAAAGTTTTAAGTTCACAGTAGGCTCACTTTTGGTGGCAAAATGAGTTGAACTGGAATGAGGTTAGTCAGTCTATTCTATTTAATGTGAATGTTTAGACATTTTGTGGTAAGGGAATGCTGCCTCAATCTCTGATGGGGATGTTACATAATGCATAGTACAAGCACCTCACTGATTTTTTTTTAATGTGAAATATTCCAAAACAATTAACCTTTTGATAAATACAGTAATGTGCAGCATTGAGTCCCTATAATCCTCATGTGTTGGAATGAGCAGATAGCGATGACTTTGATGATTTTATTTTTAGCAATCTAAAATTCCCTTTTGTTTTTAAAAAATTGATATAATTGACATATAACATTTTATTAGTTTCAGGTGTACAATGATTTGAAGTCTGTATATACTGTAAAATGATTACAATTTAGTTAACATGTAAAATGTTTTTCATAAGCCACCTAACCTGTGGTATTTTGTTACAGTAGCCCAAGCAGACTAAGACGTCATTATGTTGTAATGGGGGACACACCCCCAGAAGTAGGGGAGGGGTTTGAGCTGTGCATGTGTGACTGGAGACTGCCCCTTGCTAAACATGTGGCTGGAAGAGGGGCAATGGCAAACATGGCCGACACTGGCCCTCATTAGTTGGAAAGCTGGACACTCCCACTGGCTTCCAGCACACATGGGATTCTGGGAGAGGACTTTTGAAATGCAGCGTGCCAGAAAGGGAAAAGTTGGTTGGTTCTTTCCCCACCCCAGTGAGGGGGGTGCATGTCAATGGTCTCCGCAGGTCTGCCAATGATGGCCAGCGTGGGCCTGTGAGCAGAGGCCTGGCGCACAGACTCTGAAAGATGCCCCAAGCTTGGCAGTGACTGGAGACCAACCAATGCCACCTGTGGTTATGATACTTTTGGGTAGGAGAAGAGGTTCCTGGTGCAACCTTGAACTGAGCTGGCAGAGGGTGACAGGGTGATTTTCTTTGGGTACCTTAGAAGGAACAGGTTTTGAGGCAGACACTTGCCATTATTTCCAGAGACCTTGGTGATAAGTCAACACTGTGAATAGATTTTTGTTCTTGTGTTATTTTCAGTTCTTGAACCTATGCAGTAGTTGTAATGACAAATATTTAAATAGCTATTTTTGATGTCATACTGACTTTTCCTTTTCACTTACTTTCATTACCCAGATATTTTAGGTGGAAACTTGCCATTAAATAAAAGATTCTTTTCTTTTCCACCAAACTCCATCTTTGGAGATTTGCCTGGTATGCGGTGAGCAGTGGGACCCTCCCCTCCCCCCCACTACTGGTTGGGTTTGGTAACAATGTGGTATGTATTTTTGGACATTAATTTGTATTTTACTTTATTTCTTAACCTCTATTTCAAGCCAGTAGCAGGTGCTTTTTGTTGCGTTGAGAAGTACTAGCCTTAAGTGAACACTTTTCTTGGTCTTTTGAAAGAGCCTAACAAACTGAAATACTAAAGTAACATGTCAAAGCACAGGAAGTGAGGGGTGTGTATGCCAAGAGGAAAGTGGAAGTGCATCAAGAGTCCCTCCATCAGAAGAGACAGACGCCCAACTCAAACTGTCTTGAGGAAAAAAGGGAGTTTGCTCAAATGACAGAAAAACCCAGGAATAGTTCTGACCCAAAAGCTAACATAATGTTAACAGAAACCAGCCTCCACTTCTTATTTCCTTTCTTCTTCTTTTTAAGAGATTTTACTTACTTATTTTTAGAGGGGAAGGGAGGGAGAAAGAGGAGAGAAACATCAATGTGTGGTTGCCTCTTGAGCACCTCTGCTGGGGACCTGGCCTGCAACCCAGACATGTGACCTAACTGGGAATTGAACCAGTGACTCTTTGGTTCATAGGCTGGCAGTCAATCTGCTGAGCCACATCAGCCAGGGCTCAATCTTCCTTTTTTCTGTGATGGCTTTATTCTCAGGAAAGCTCTTTGTGAGTCGTTGACTTGGACCCCAGCAGCACTGCTCTTTTCCCCACATATCTTAGAAACACTGAAGGAAGAACACCTCTTTCCCAGAAGTTTCAGCGAAGTCCCAGTGTTGGATTTGGTTACATGACATGCTTGTTCCTGAACTTGACCAGGCTGGTCTCCGTGTCCAGTCCTGGAGCCAGAGAAGCCACACAGCCTGAGGGTAGGAAAGGGGCTGTTTTCCAAACAAAAGAGTTGAGTTTTGTTTGTATCTTTTTACTAAAGAAGGAGACACAGGTACCAGGTGAACATACCTGAGGGAAGCCAAAGGTAGGTAGGGTAATTCCCAAGACAGAGGTCAAGAAATTGAAGATCTGAAAATCGGAGGGAGTAGAGACCTGCTCAGTGTTTGGTAGCAACATTTCAGTGAGATGACAAAACCTAAGAGGAAACAGATCCTTGGTGTACTCAAAGGGAAAGTCCACAGGCATAGGGGTTTGAGCTCACCAAATGTGACCATGGCAGGTGTGGGCTGGACACAGAACTACTGCACCATTCAGCCTGGGACAGTTAATATCTCAGCAGTAATCAGTGCAGACAGACGAGAAACTACTCAAGGGACCTTCCTAATGTTTGAATTATGGACTTTTGAATAACCCCAGCGTAACCCAATAACCAAGAGATTTCCCATCAACAAGGTAGAAGGACCTAGTTGATAGCCTCTTTGGAAAAACTTCCCTGGGTGCTCAATCCTGAAAGGATCCCAATAAAATCAATGGATGACACCATGTAGTTCATCAAC